ACGAACCTGAGACGGAAGGACGCACTGTAACTAACAAGTGAACACTGGCTTGAACTTGAAACAAGTGGAGTAAATGTTGTGTCTTTCTGTATGTAATCTGTGACATCCACTCGAGCCGGTCGCAGCGTATTCTGGAGTCGAGCCGCCCTTTACCTACCTCGGCTTATTATTTTAACTGTCACTGTGCCTGTCGACAATGCGCAACGGCGTATGCTTGTAGTACAATAGAGCATTACACGGATTACCGCAGACTGTCGCAATAATAATGAAAGAGAGTATAGAACAATTAAAATCTGTAGACTATATTCAATTTCGTATTTATTTAGCATATATAATTATTGACACGCTGCAAGTGCCTGTTGTAAAATATGGGGTAAAAGACGTGCTCTTCGTCTTCTGTGCAATAAAGTTGAGTAACCATAACTTTGCCATTTCTATCACCTATCCAGTCGGTTTGGCCCACTGCGCAGTGTAATTAAGCTGTGTCACTGGCAGGGCCTATACTCCTACCCAATTGCAGGCCTCGCCAGCAAAGCTATAGGCCCAGCGCATTTGTTGGCAGCAAATGGTAAGTAATGAGGGAATAGGCAGCAAATCATGACATCCTTGAATCTCTCCTCGTGCTGTTAAAGCCTAGTCATCTATCGAATGTCTAATCATAATCCACTGTTTTTCCTTGTCTTTCGCGTCGAGCATGACATGTTTATGCTTGCTTTGCGGGCTCATACAATTAAGGAAACGCCAGCAAGAGTCCGTGTTAATACTGTACTCGCTTGGCTCACATACACTCTCTACTGTGACATGCAGAGAAGACAGACGAGTACTGGTAGCACATGCGTAGCAACGTAGTAGCTCTCATAACATTCGCAGTGTGGAGCGTCATCAACGTACCCATCTATATTGCCCTGTGTCGATCATACAGTCCATTGTCGATGGTGGTCGAAAGTCTGAGACACTTGTTCTGGCCATACCCCTGGTCACCCAGCCAATGAGAAACGATTTCAATCGTTACCGACTAATTCCGCACGGTCGCCGCCCGCTGCCCTTGCTAGTATACTACATCGTGGTGCGTCAGCTTGGAACAGGGTTCCACCTTCCAGGCTTCGCCTTTCCATTTACAATCAGGCTGCGCGAATCTGCAGGGGCGGAACGCTGTTTTACTGTAATGTCAACGGTTTATCACGATTAGTTTTTCACAAACTGCCCCTGGAAGGTACACTGCATAGAAAAGATTTCTACAGTCATACGAGCCAATAGTTTCGCTGCAGTGTTTCGCAATTTTCGTCTCAAATAGCTGTTAGGATCAGCGCGCCTGTTTTCATCAAAGAAGCTGTAGGCGCGGCACGAACTTCGTTGGCGCTGGCCGACGGCTGACGTGATTTCGAACACTTCGCCCCTATCCCCATGTTTTTGGGGCGCTAAAATAGAAAGTCCATTAGCTTATTATAAGTACTCACTTCGTTATTGTTGGAAACTATATCAACAATTTCTAGCAAGCAATCTCTTTAACACAACAATTTTTATGCCATACACATGTCCAATAGGTCAGTCTCTTTAACGTCCTGCCTCCAGTGCACCTGACAGGCTGCAGCGTCCTACATGAAGCGCCGGCTTATCGCATCGTACGCTAAGTTTGGTCACAATCGTCTGTACATATCGTTTTCACAGAGGCACATAAGATTGCGCTCTTGATCTGTTGCATTGCTGCAGTCACTTCGTACTAGTGTTTAAAATACTTCTTAATCAGCTTTTTTAAAAGGCATTGCATTGTCTTAACCAGGAATTAAGTCGGTGAAGTATTGTCATCATTAAAAAGAGAACGTCGATCACACTGCAACTCTGGAAGATACCCCAGTAAATTCTGACCGCAGTTGCTGTGCTGCCATCCTCTGCCTTTCATGATGTATAGACTCCTACTCATAACCGCCTTCATACGGTGGCACGTGATACAGCTTAAATGTTCTAGTCTCCTCATCCACGCTTAGCTTCTTTGATTCTGTGTAAGTCTGGTCACTCTTCCTTTGACTCTTCCCGGGTATGATATTCGCTGTCTCATTAAAGGGAGGACACAGGCTGAGTTCTGCATATTCCAGGTGCGTCTTACAGGGCTGGAGTAAGTTTGTCAGATACCGTGGCGGCGTCTAGGCGTATCTAAAGACTCTCTGATGACACCACTATACTGTTGGCTTATGGTGATGTGAGATGCGTGTTTTTTGCTGACTTTAGTTGTGCGTCTACTACTACACCTAAGCATCTTGAGAGTTGGCGTCGTAGACTAGCTAGTGTTCTATACCTTTTTGGTGTCATGCTGCAAAGAGTTTGCATACACTGTTGATTACCGTCCAGCTGTCGTTGATTGAAAAATCATTGAACAATATTGGCCCACTCACCTTCTTGGCGTATTCCCGCGGTGCCATCTGACCATTCAGAGAATGTTCCATTATACATACAGCCTGTTGCCTGCGATTGACAAGATGTATAATATATATCATAACCGTGTTTCCCCTTGCCTGGACGAGCGACGGTGCGCCGCTTCGCTCCCCAATTCTCAGCCTTGCCACATCGACATTTGCTCCAACCAACACGCCTCGAATGACGAAAGCCTTTGACAACTTGAAAGAAGAGACAAGAGCTCATACAATATCTCAAACTTCACCAATAATGCTTTGAATGCAGCCAAATTGCACCATTTTTTTGCAATTTCCCCAGACCCCTAGCTTGGCCAGCACCTGTGCGCTGCACTTTGCTAGGACCTCGAAACACTGCAACACATAACACCCAAAATTCACTCATCTCACAGACCTTTTTTGCCAAGGAAACTGTCAAACACCTGTATACTATATATTATATACGATATATATTATATATATAGTATATATATTATATAT